CCATTTCTTATCCCAACAGTCGGAAAATTTCATTATTCAAATAATCGCTCACTGAGTGCAAACTGAATCCGCGAGAAACCCCGTAAAATTGGTACCATTGCAAAGCTTTGATTATTTCTAATGCAATTGAACCCAATTTCAGGCTCACCTGGTACCATAATAATTTGCACTGTGTTATAATTGGCCAAAGTATTAAAGAAAAAACATTTTTTTAAAATCCAACTTTTCAGGCAGGCATCTACGTGGCGCTTTGTGGTCCCCGTTATCCGACAGTGTCGAACATATGGGACTGCCAGTCGTCCAGGCGGGACCACACACGATGTTGCATGGCAAAAGGCGTCTCAGAGACGTGTCTGACGTATTGTGATGCCACTTATGGACTCGGTGTGGAGCCCGCTCAGATCAACAATTGCTTAAATTACTTGAATCCAATCCGCGAGTGTTTCTGGGAGTATTTGGAAGAGAATCCGAATATGTACGGTGATTTATGATGGTATTAATATGATAATTTCAATGATTCAAATACTTTTCACGATTTGATATTGATACTATTATTCATTTTGTTGTTATTATAANTTTTCATTGTTATTATTGTTATTATTATTACTATTATTATTATTATTGCTATTATTATTTTTATTGTTAGTGCTTTTATTATTTTTTAAAATTGTAGTATATGACACGATAAAAATACTTTGCATTCAATGCAATTGAAGTTTCGCCCGATTTAACAAACCAAAAGGCTTTTCATGCTTCGTATCGCTTGCCTGTAATCGGAATCTTCACATTTTTCGCAGAAATCACTAGACTTTGGCAGTTTAAATTAATAAATTTAATTGATAACCATTCAGCACAGCTGATTCAATGAGCAAATGAAATTAGTGCTACATCATCGAGCACGAACTCGATACCATATCCTCTCTGAACTAATTTGTAGACGTATATTGTATCCGCCTGAATTGCTCAGCCTTAAGCCAGCACAATGCACTCATGAGTGAGTCGTTTACAAATGATTAATTGAAATTTCTGCTGAAAATTTTCAAAATTTGATTTGCTCTGCAATGTTCTGATAGATCCGAATCGAATTTCAGCGTTTAGTTTCATTTTCCGTGTTCGTTTACAGTGACGAAGCAAAACACATGGAGCAGTTTAATTCATTTCTACGATTTTTTATTCAAGTCAATGATGACACATCTTGTATTAGTCCATTAGAAATACTTTGTTTAAGATTAGGAATGCAAAAAAATTTTAATTTCCTTTATTATCGCAGTCAGACAACAATGGACTTCCAGTAGAAATTTTACTGGAAATTACCGTAAAATATTCGACATATTCTGGACATTCAACCATCTTTAGGAGCAATTCAATTTGATGCGATCTTCTCTCCAATTAGCTAAACATTCAGATGATGTTTACGAGCATTATTATTGAAGGATGGTGTTGGGATAAACCGGTGATCTCTTGTTTATTGTTTGCGGTTTCTTGTGTGCCTCTCTATAGTGCTTTNTGAGCCATCCAAGGCATCTTTCGTCACTCAACCGTCAGTGTATCTTCACTCCACCCAACCATTATTATCGTCTTTATTTATTGTGTGGATAAATCATATTATTAATCGTCGCCATCGCATCAGCAACACAAGTAACATCGCGAACAGCGACAGCCAACATCACAAACAATTATAAAAGGGTTTACAACGGAAATTGCTGTGAAGTTTGAACTCAATGTGTTTAGAAATTGGCAAAACCGATTGCTTATTGCAGTGAAACACGTGATGTAAGTTCACGATTAGAACGGAAATTATTTCAGAATTTAACAAGCGCAAGCACACAATACATGCACGCAACAGAATCAGTGAACTGTATCTGTTGAAATGGGTTTTGAAACTACTTTAGTTTCAGATTCAATGTTCAGCTAGAGAATCAGCCTCGTATGGTTTGGTTCAGCTTAAGGCTGAAGCGGAGACTCAGCTTTATTCTTCGAATCGACCTGAAGCTTAGGTTTAACGTTCAGATCAAGCTCAAGCTTACAAATTGGAATTAAGCTTAAGCTTTGGAATAGGTTGAGGCTTAATAGACCCAGGTTCGGGCCTTTGCTTAGGCCTGGGCTTTACTTCTGTTCAAGGTGCTTTTTTTCGGTCAAGGTTACTTTTGCTTTCACTTAGGCTTCAATTCAGACTGAAATTTAGACTTTTTTGAACTTCTTTGCGTACATCCAAACCTAGACTTTTGCTTACGCTTAAGGCTCAAGTTTTTAAAGTTTTTGGAAATTAGATCTTTCTTAAGTTAAAAATTTTCAATTTGAAAAAAGTAAAGTTTTTAGAAAAAAAAATTCGTGAAAGTTGTCTGAAACAATCTTCGGTGAATCAGACGTTGCACTTTTGCAGGACAAGCTTTAACGAAAGCAAAAAAGCCCGCTTATTTGTCCTTAATATTCCAGTAAACATTTCCAAAAGCATTGCATTACTGTTATCAAGCTTATAATCATTTCAATTAAATCATCCATTAAAATTGCCAACATCGCATTCAAAATTGTCACTTTGAGGGTAATTTTCGTTCGAATTAATATCAATTTTACGGTTTATTCTAGTGAATTTCATTTAATCTTCTTGAATAAATGTCATTATCACAAATATTTGCTTCAAAATGATATTATCGCATAATCGGATGCTCTGTCATTAAAATCCGATGCTCTGTCATTAAAATTTAATCGGATGCTCTGTCATTAAAATGAAAAGTTCATCAGAGGAGCGATATAAAGCCATGCTATTAGATAGCTTACTGTTTGTATTAGATACAGATTTTGCAGTCTGATTCCGTCGTTAAATTGAACGGATTAGATAGATTGAACAATGACTGCATTGAGTTCAGATGAAATTTCTGTTAGATGTATTCTCGCTGACGACTTCAACGTTTCACGATTTAGCAACAGGAAACAGTTTGAGCAATTGGAAAGC